AAAATATTGAAAAGATTAAAAAGAATTTTATACAGTTATTCTTAAAGGAAATATTTCAAACATAATTTCATTCATTTCGGAATAAGTCCTGAAAGTTTCATTAAAATCTGACAATTATCTGATGTTTTAAAGAATTTGCAAATCAATGTGTTTTTCTCAGCCAAAGTAGACGCTCAAATTCCACGCTCAAATTTCACGCACAAATTCAATGTCTTATTTTGACAGCAAAAAAACAAGATTTTTTAATCAAATTTCCCAAAGAATAGAAAATAATTTTCCCATCAAAAAATTATTTAATCTTCCCACTTAACAATGTCATCAAAATGATGACGATAGACATTATTTGTATTATATTTTGGGCACTTGTTTTCATCACGTATCTTTCATTTTTACCGATCCTCTAAAGGTACGCACACGCGTAGATTTTATTGAATATGATTGACAAAATACTGGCAAACATCAGTCTTAGAAAATTAATTCAAATTTATAAGGAAATAATAAATACTTTGGAAAGATATATTCTTATCACATTACTACAGATTATATATAAACTATTCTCAAAATTACTTAGAAACATACTAATAAACATACTAGCAGAGAATCAAACACGTCAACAGATAGTTTTAGGATGGGTTAGTCAACAATAGGCCATTTACAAATCATAAACTAAATAATCGAAAAATCAACAGAATATAAACAATCATTTTGTTTTCTACAACTGAATGACATTCGATTCAGTAAAACACTCGGCTGTCTTTAAATCATTATAATAACTGAGGCATTAAGGGAAATTATATGGAATTATTGAGAACACACATATATATATATATATATATATATATATATATATATATATATATATATATATATAAATCAGATAAAATAGCTTGAAAATCTGTAAAGGAATCAGGATAATTTGTGTATTCGCAGAAAGTATCTTCCAAAACATGAACAAATAATGGGGGCGTTTAATAAACATAAACCGATAATATTTGAAATCTGTACGATTTGCTGATGATATTTTACTAATATTAGACTCACTTCTAAATTACAAAGATAGGGAATACCTTAATGTTGGTTTAAAAATTAATAAATGAAGAACTGGAAAACTCCAGGACAATATCGACTTATGTAATAATATTAAAGAAAGAATATGAAAATTAAATAAAACGAAGTAGTTTTGAAAAGGCAAATGAAAAAAGAGAGACATAATATAAAAAAAAACTCTGGGCTTCAAACGTAAAGTTTATAATGAATGTGAAATGTCAACAATGATAAGCCGGAGGGGTGGGAGTTGGAAAATTATGAAAATCGATTGAAAACAAACTTAAAAGCAAACGGAAATCAATGGAAAGATCAAGGCTGGGAATAAGAACTCATGAGAGACCGAAAAAGGTTAATATGGATCAGAGAGCAGACCAAGATAAAAACACATCATAGATATGATCAAACGACAAAAATAGAGTTGAGTGCGACACAGAGCAGAAGAAGAAAAGAATGTAAGCGAAATATTGGTTGTTTAGTGTCTAATAGATAGAAATCAAAACTATAAAAACCAAACAGAAGAAGGAGAGATAGGATAGAAAAGTTTTATTCAATGAAATAGTACAATCAGGGGTGTCATGGAAGATTTGAAGGAATTATGTACACATACATGTGTATATATATTTGTGTGTGTTTGTATGTGTTGTTATATACGTATGTTTAATGTTACATGTATAAACAGGCTATTATAAACAGATAGATAGATAGATAGATAGATAGATAGATAGATAGATAGATAGATAGATAGATAGATAGATAGTCAGAATATTCCATATGTATTAAAATGGGTTCAGTAGAGAGTAAAAATGTATGTTACTGAAGTAACAAGATGGTGGCATTAATATTACAAATTAGAGACAGCCTCTCCTCCTTGAAAATCAGCATTCCGTATCCAAGTTTTTTCCTAGGTTCGAACATTGTAATTAGTCTGATGCACGCAATTAGTTCACAGCAGAATATATATATATGAGTTTTCATGTGATGTGTTTTGTCCTTCAGGACTTCATTGGATTAAATTTGATTCCAATAGACTCATTGAAGGAATCCCTAGTAGCCCATGCCTTAAAGAAATACAAAATAGTGTACTCCCAAGTACAGCTCACACCTCACGAAGAGTTTTATCTATGTAAAATGTGTGTGATTTTTTAAAAACTTCTCAGTAGAAAATGTCATGATGTCATTTCTGACTTTAACTCTCTGTTCGGGACCCGGAAAGGAATGAGTATACACAATAATAATAATAATAATAATAATAATAATAATAATACCAACACTAAAACCAGTATCTATGGCTTTCGAAAGTGAGAAAACTATATTAATCTAAGTCAACATGCTTTTATTTCTATGTATGGACGTGCTCATTAATTCTCTTCTTTTGCTTAACGAATTAGTGTTGCCCATATTTTTAGGATCATAAAGAAAGATATAAACTACATTTATCGCCTTTACCACTGAAGTGTTTTTTCTTTCTTTACGTAATTCCAGATGATAGTTTGGTTTCTATTCTTACTTTTTATTTTCCAGAAAAAATTAAAGAGGGCAGTGCAGTTACTATATTTAATACTGCATAAAGTTTATTTGGTGATGGTAGGAACGTGATTTCCAATGATTTCCAAATAGAACTTGACCTCACCATCATATTTGATGTTCGCTTTATAAACTAAACCTCTGTCGATGCATTTGCCATTTTATGGACAGATTTTGATTTTCCGCAGCTGCATTCTTTAATTAGTTTTGACGTTGCTGCTAAAAAGTGGATTAAACCATATATTGCGTCTGCGGTGTTTAGACTTGTTGACATCATTATTATTAGTATCCCAAAACTCGAGGTTAATTTTATGATCACTTTGTTCAAGTGCTTCTACATATTTTCTTTTATGATTGTCGAAAATATCCTTATTACTAGAGATGGAAGACAGTCAAAATTGAACCGACCGATGTAAATTGTTTAGTATTCTAAGATGATGGTTAGAGTGTTTGTTGATGTATCTATGGTTGTATAAATCTTTAGTAAATGGTTTATAAAGTCCACTATATAGGATCAAGGTTGCACCCAGAAAGTTTATCACTTTAGGGTTGTTGGTGGTCTTTAAAGAAATTTTAAATGGAAATTAAACTGAATAATTTATCTATATTATGATGTAATATGTTATACAGTGCAGTAGTTTTAGTGCGATTTTCAATAAACAATGGAAATTTAAAACATTTTATCTAATAATTTGTGTCCAGCATTATTATGGTGTTATATACACTTTTATATTTTTTAGTTTTTATTAATTATAATCGAATAAATGATCTAACAAATCTCATTCAGTGAGTAGACATTTTTGTAATCATTTACAATTATTTTACAGTTTTTATTTGTCGAATATATAAACAAAAATGCATATTTTGCTTATTTCATGATTAGAATTCTGGATTGAATATATTTTCCATTCAATGTATCTAATACAAAAGATTTATATTTGAAATTATGAAGTCAGTTTGTAAGAAAACCCTGGGGAAACTAGAGATTTCATTACATATTATTGAGACGATCTTTAAAAACTAAATGTTCAATGATTGGTAGAAGCTATGAATCTAACTTTTGGTGCGAATAATTAGCACATCAAACTGCTGCTGCTTTCAGACCGAGTGCAATGATGATTTTCTTAATAACCGAAAAACCAACTTCTCCTATTGCTAGAGATGACCATTTGTTGAAGAGCATTGCTACTCGAACCCAACAAGTTCCTGTAAGAAGAAACATACGCTTCTGCTTCAAAATGCTGCCAATGACAGTTTCACGTTTTCTGATATTTGAATTTGGTTATGATTAGAAAATACCCTGGCAAGGAATTTGCTGAAAAGTATACAATTCAGGCTATGAAGCATTCACCACATCTGGTGATTTGGAACATGTGGAACAACCGGGCTCTACTACTTGCTTCAACGAACAATGATGAACGGTACAATGTTTGTGAAACTACTACAGGGGAAACGAGAAGTGCATATGCACAATCATCAGTGCACAATACATATGTATGATGGTACGCCTTGCCACAGGTCAAAGGTCGTTCAAAATTGTTTGAACAGGATCACCGTGACAATACCTAACTGTTCTTCTGATAAGAAAAGAACTCCCGAATTTGTTAGTGTGGGTCTCAAAATCAACACGGAGGCCTACATCAAGTGCCAAGAGGTGGTAGTGCTACTTTGGGTTAAGAGGGTGGCTGCTGGAAGGCCGTATGTCTGGCAACAGGACTCTGCACCCCGCCACGCAAGCAGGAGAAGACAGTGATGGCTGTCAGACAATTTCTGCAACCACATCACCCCTTACATCTTGTCACATAACTCCCCAGACTGCAACCCCCTTGATTATTATGTGTGGGGCTCAGTTGAGCGAGAGACCTAAAAAATTCATTGTAGCACCAAAGATGAACTGAAGGCAAGGATTTGGGCAGCATTTACCAACTTAAATAAGGAAGCCCTCCAGAAGAGTTTCAGGAGATTCCGAAATCGTCTAGAGGCCGTTGTTGAAGCCAGTGATGATTTTATTGAATATATTTACACTTTAGTATTTCAAGGTATGTTTGTTTAATTTTGGTAAATATATCTCTAATAAGGATATGTCAGTGTTACTTTCATTTTTGAGTAATTTAGACAACAATCCATCTAACACACCTATATATATATATATATACACAAAACACGCACACACACACACATGTGTATATATATATATATATATATATATATATATATATATATATATATATATATATATATATTATTAAAAAATTAGTCGATGAAATGTTCTCCGCGCCAGCCACTTTAAATATATATATATATATATATATATATATATATATATATATATATATATATATATATATATATATAAAATAGGGATTCTCACTAAACACCTAGATTCCGATTTCTCTTTACTGGTTCATTCTCAGTACTAATTACTTATTTTAAGAGATAGATAGATAGATAGATAGATAGATAGATAGATAGATAGATAGATAGATATATTCACAATTTTTCTTTCTCTTGTACACTAGAATATCTGTATCAAATATTTAATTAATTTTCCTGTTTTATAATATACAACAACTCTGTCTGATTTTGTAGTCTATGTAAATATCAAAATCATTATTATTATAAAAGAGAAATAAAATCTATTCTTTGGGATCATAAATGTCATTGCGACGGAAGTCTCTAAATTTGTATTATTAGAGATTCCAAATTACATCTTTTTTGAATATTTTTATAGAAATCATATTTTTAATGTTTGTAACTATATTAATCTCCCTTATTTTAATCTGATTACTTTTTAAAAACATTGACCAATTCTTTTTCATATCGACTTTTTCTTATCTCGACGTTTCGGCGCTATTCCTCTTCACAGCGTTTTAGCCATAAAGTTTGAAAATGAATTTATTGAAAAAAGTTTGAACAAAGTAACTATAAACAATTTTTTTTTTTGTTTTTGTTTTTTGGGGGGATTGTTTTTTTTTTTTTTTTTGCTATCCTCTGCCAATTGCAATGATGCAGAAAATATTACCTCGCACCATCGCCAGTGAGACACGCTGCAAGTGCCAGTCCGTTTCGCGAGGCTCGTCCCTTAATCGAGACACCATCCCGCCAATCCTCTGAAGGAACGCCATCGAACGGGGACCAGTAACCCCAGAAGTCTCCACTGCCACAGGAGTAAAAAAAAATCTATCAGCAAGAGAAGAATATTTACCTAATTTTTTTTTATCTCTGCGCCCCGGGCGACGTACCGCGGCTCAACCGCAGACCTGATCAAATTACCGGTCGCATCTCATATCAACAACATCCCCATTTTAAAAGGGAAAATAGTAATGCCATCCGGCCGCTTTCCATCACCACGCTCGAGGCCTACGGGTTCGATTTGGGAAGGGAACCCAGCTGCATCCAGACCTCTACTGGTGATGTCATTTATTGCTGCATGCCGTGGAAAGCGGCCAGCACTACGACGACAGGAGAGGGGATGCAAACCAAACTCACCAGTGGAAGCTCCACATCTGCATCTGTGGCGCTCACTTAATTTGAGTCCAAGACGGATCCCGACACCGACTCGAGTGCATTCATCATCTAGAAGGGTACCGGTAGATGAAGAGGGCACTGCGTTGAGCCAGGCGCCACTACTCGGTTGTGAAGCAGATAGTAGACAGGCGAGGTCATGCTGATCCAGAGAGAGCCTCAAATTAGTAAAATTGGCCTCGCATTTTATTTTATCCCAGCTTTTTTGTTTTGGTGTGTCTAGTGGGAGGGAAAGTAATTCTTGGGTCCAGGCGCTGCAAGCTTGTTCGAAAGATCTACCCAAGAAACACTGAGACGATCCACCGAGTATCTCATCAATTAATTCGTGACTGGACGAAAATGAAGAAAAATATGCTGGAAGGGCCAAATCTACCGCTGATCGAAGGCCCAGGCCTCCGAAACTCAAAGGGAGCTTTGCCTGCCTCCAGCCTGTGTCGTCGAAATTGACGTTGCAAATTAACTCCGCGCATCTCTTAACTGTGATATCTATCTCATTTAAGAAATCCTGTGCAAGGCGCTTCGGAGATTGTAGCGGAACCTCGGTATCGAAAAACTGTTCTTCAAGAGGAAGAGGACTGGGTGTGCATCAATTAATTGCAATTTCTCAGTCATTCTTGTTAGGATGACATGCTTAGTGTCCAAACACTCTCGAATGACCACTAGAAAGTCGAGAGAACCAAGAATGTGTAATTCCTCCTTAGGTGTTATTTTTATATCCTCAATGGTGAGTTTAATATCCCGGATAGCACTCTCGAAATCATCTGCGATATAATTCAAGTCTAAGCAGAGATAAAGAAGGAATAACTCGTCGGATGTCAGCAGCTACGGCCTCGACGGGTCCTTCAAGCGTTGCATCGTCAAGATACCATATATTGAAAGGAGAGGCGATGGAACGACCTACCCCGTCAACAACCATCGGAAATATTAGCGGACCAAGTGGATCATCTTGCTGGATTCCGGTAGCAGAAGAGATAATATTATTGGAAGCGATCAACATACTTGGAGGATTACACGAAAGATGAGCCAGTTTAAATATGGAAGGAGTCTGTAGATGGCAAACTTCTAGGGTATGATCCCTTCTGATGCTATTGAAAGCGTTTTTCATATCCAATTTTAATAAGATACGCGGGAAAACAGGTGATGTATTCTCGAAACGCGGCTTCACATCCGCCCTGTATGCCTACCCCGAACTGGACAGGTCGCAATTCATGCACTAGCTCCTTCACGACAACTCTACAAGCAATTTTTGTCAGCGATAGGGCGGATACCTCTGTCTTTTTTTTTAAGCCGTTAAGTTGGCTCAACATATTAAGTCGCGAGTATGTTGGGCTATCAACATGCCAAGAGATGTTATAGATCTTTTCATATGTTCACCAGCTTCGGCAGTGTGGGAAGAAATTAAGTCCTTGATGTGACGGCGTTGTAGGCCTTCCATACCTCCACTGCTGCTTCCCGAAAAAATTTCAGAGCGGCAACCATCGCTTCCTTTGAGATTTCAATATTTGAATCATAGTTTTTCATCTGAACAAATCTGATGGTGGCGCAGGATGTTTCCGATGGAGAGCTGTGAGAACTTCTGGTGTAGTAGCTATTATAGTATCGGATGAGGCCAATACTCTAGCTGCAGCTGAGACATCGCCCTCGATCAACTTAGCATTGACGAGGGAACGGAGTCTCTTAGAATCGTCGACTGTAGATGAAGGATGAAATCTATTAGGATTAGAAAGATTAGAAAATTCGGTGGCATTTATTTTAGACGAATTGAATAAAGAAATGTTATTTTTCATAATAGATGAGACAGATGATGTAGGGTCCTTATTGTAAGGAATGCCGTGCACAAGTGAAGCGAGCTGTTCAAGTTAAGTGCCTGGTCTATGGCAGTAGCCAAGGCATCGGCTGCAGGGATTCTGGCAGATTTAGGGATTTTTAAAGACACTTTCAGGAATTGCTTAAGGAGTGAGGTTGCCCACAAAACTTCACTGGCATCCCTCTGGGTCGCTTCATTATGTTGATGGATCACACTATCTTGTAGAGCCGAGAGAGACAGAAAATGTGAACAACTCCAAACAACCAGAGACGCTGAAGCATTTCTAGTCAATCCCACGCAAGATAAATGAAAAGGCCGTTGACAATTTGAACAACTTCTGATCTTTTACGCTTATTAATGCTGCCTCAAGAAAAGCAACGATCAGATTCTAGCAAAGAAGGAAGAGACATTTTTCTTCCCTTCTTTTTCCTAAAATTAATGTAAAACTTTTTCTGTAAATTCTTGTAATCTTCGCTTGACATTAATTTCATTTTTTCCCTTGAAATCAAATCTTCAAATTGAATTACAAATCCTTTACTGTTTAATGTTTAAAGTTTCCAACTATTAATTCAATAATGATTATTCCATTTACTATTCAAATTCGTATTTACCTTACTAAATATTTAATCCGACATTTTTACACTCTTAAAAATCCGTTGAAATCAGCAAAGCTTTGAAAACATGTCTTCTCTTTTCGAATTCGAAGCGTTAAAAAAATAAAATCATACACAGTACTACTTTTTTCAATATTAAAAAAAAGTATTGTGACCTGTGAACTGACAATATTAGACGTTAAAGTAGTTCTAATTCTATTCTAATTTTAAAATGACTGTTTTACTTTTACACAATTTTTATGAAAATTGTATAACGTTTTCTCATTATGTGTTCTATAAATTTCAACTGTCTGTTCCTAATTTTAAGTATCAGTGTCATTTTTGTTTTCAATTTCTCTAAATCTTCGTCGTTGCTCACATATAAGATCTAATATATTCTCAGCATCCTTCTGTAGAGCCACATTTCTGTTGCTTCTTTATCTATGAGAAGATTGTCCAATATTCCCTGCGATATAAAAGGACTGATAGTGCAGATTCTAACGAAACTTTCCTCTTTCTTAATACTTTGCTTAGCTTTTTGAATGCAACTTTTCGGTATGCAAATTCGCCTTTTCACCTTTTGAAACAGTTAACTTCAAAAATGTATTGCACATGCAGAATATATTATGGAATTCCTCAATCTACATAAGTTCCTTCTAATTGGAACCTTTTCTGATTTCCATTTGCCACCATTTTGTTCTTGTCGACGAATCCCAGCTCCAAGCCATTGGCTGATTGGATTAACATCATTAATGATTCTCTGAAAAGTTCTTTCTAGTATCCGCCAATAGGCAGTGGGCTTTATTAATTGTTAAAATAGAAAATGATCCGTATTGCAAACAGTAAATAACGTGAGTCAGCGACAAATTGTAATTCTTTATTTGTTGGATGACGTCGCTGGCTATGCGGGCTGTACAACGGATATCGGTGTGGAAAGTGAAGACGGCGATCCAAGTTCAAGTTCCGGTAGAGTCAGTTGCGTTCCTTTTCGAATTGCCTTCAATCTTTCCTGTGTGTATCCAATTTTCCTCGTCCTCTTTCCTCATTATTATAAAACTATCTCTTTTTGGTTTTAAACATAAGTGTTATGTTTATTTCCATTATTTCTAAATATTCGTCGTTGCTCACATGGTATTCCCAGTATCCTTTTGTAAAACAATATTTCTGTTGCTTCAAGGCTCTTCTTCTAACTTAATTTTTCTCTTTCTTTTCAGCTTTTGAAAAGCATCATCCGCTATCCTAATACACCTTCGGATTTCAGTATCGCACTTTCCTCCTCTATTAAAATCCCTTCCAGTTATGTAAGTGCTGTACTTGTTTGATTTTGGTATCACAAATTTGTAATTTTCATATTGGGATGTTCCTTTTGCTAAGAACAATAAATTCTGTCTTTTTGCAATTAATGTTTAGTTCTTTCTTTCCGCTTTCTTTCACTACTTTCTGTAGGAGTTCTGTGTAACGATAAAAGATATTTTTAAAAAAAACGGTCACATCAATCCAGTCAAATCTCAGTTAGTCATAAACAATGAAATAGACAAAAGTGAATAGTCTCATTGCGTTCATATATATTTATAATAGGAATCTACTGACACAAAGATCCAAAACAGGGCTTTGACGTATCAAAGACTAAAAATAGAAATGAAACAGAAGTAGATGTTTTTCAGCAACATCTTGATGTATGCTTGTGTCTGGGGGTGTACAGGGGATGCTGCCCAAAAGTTCAAGGAATTTCACCACTATACAAGAATCAAATGTAATACAGGTTTTTATGTAGAATCTGAAAAAGGTGTCTATAATTGCATACACGCCTAAACTGATTAATGTGTGAAGACGGTAATAACAGTGCATGACTAAATTTTGTCAAATTGTACGAAATTTAGCATAAAACTTTATATATACTAACTGAAATATCCTTCTTACATAGGACGGAATTTTACACATGTCCCAGTGAATAACCTAAAACGGAAATTTAACTCCAATAAGAGATCATGAATTTGAACACAATGTATTTATTGAATCATGCCATTTTTTTTTAATTATTAGCATCAGTCTTCGATTCTAGTAGCTGAGATTTCACAAAGGTTTCAGCTACGCAATATTGCATTATAATAACTTTGGCGAAATGCTTAATTGCTGCAAAGAACACAGGGAGAACACGGAAATAGGTTTTTGAAAAGGTTTATACGGCTCCCCGGCTGGTCATTGCTCATAATAATAATATAAAAACAAGATGATTTCAATTGTTGGTGACCTGAAAAAATGTCAGGTTATAAAAAATGTCATCACTTTTGTTTCTAAGAAACTTTCAGCTCAATGTGTATTTTCTACAGTTAAACAAAAAGATAAAAATTCGGTTTACATTAATTGATGGACTCAAAGCAAAACTCCAGCTTAGGATTATATTTATTTTGTAAATCAAATCCCATCATTAAAAACGTAAGAAATTTTTTAAGAAGAAAATCTGGTGGTGGTTCATTTTGGGAATTACGTGCACGTGTTTGAAAGATTTTAAATACTTCTGACAGATCATTTTTTTATCTCATCCCATTATAGTTATTCTCATCATTGCATCAGTCAATCTGCTCAAATTGCCTGCAATAGTGTCGCAAGTTACAGTATTTGTTGTTCCATATCTTGCGTAGATATCTAGCGCTTGCAACCTCTTTAGTAGGTGCTTTGAAAAGGCTCCCAGTTCCTTAATATATGTACTACAGTCATTCTCATAATTCAAAGATATTGTAGTTCTCGTGTGATGATTTCTCTGAATGCAATCACATTATTTCTACTGTACACCCATCAAGTTTTCTAATGAAGAGTATCGAGCGAGTCTTGCGACGTTATATTCACTTACATTCAAATACTCTTGGGAAAAGTATGAATCCAGCTCTTCTTCTAATTAGGAAGTCTTGTATCACTAAAATCGTTATTATCTCCTCCCCCAACCAAAAAAAAAAACTCTCAGAATCTAAAAATATTTTCTTGTTCTAAATAACCTGCAAAGAGTTGCTAAGTCGTAGAAAAAGAATCAGTGAATCAATTAATCAATAATCCGACCTTTTAATGATAAAGCATGGAAGCAAGCATTCCCTACTTTCTGAAGCAACACAAGTAACCCAAGTTTTTTTTTTTCCAGTATGTTTAACAATGTATTGTATATAGGAGTTGCCCTTGAGATCTGGGGGAAATTTAGTTTCAATAGACGTTCAAAGGAGGGAACATGCCTGCTAATCCAACTGTTTATCATGACTAGAGAAGGCATTGGTTATAACTTGAGTTTGTTACAGAATGCAAAGGCCAGGGCCAGAATGGTCAACGATTGACTGGAGTGCCATGTAGGCATGTTATTCTGATAGTGATGGATTGTCTTTGTCTGTTTTTTGGATATAAGTTCAAAACAGTGCGAATTCAATAGAGGGTCTCAAGAATTTTGAAGCGTTGATAAGCTTCCTTTTACCTAGATTCGAGAGAGGACGGGATAAAACCAAACGCGAGGTGGGAGGCGCTAAATCGACAAATGACATGCGATTCCCCACTTCTAAGAAAAAGAAATGGTCATTTTTGTTAATACCATTTCTGCAGTAGCGTAGGAACCCATAG